TACAGGCTAAAGCTTAGCACATGTTCATTGGGATCGCAGGACGGTGAGTCTAGGACTTCTATGCACAATGCAACAGTCTTCTCTACGCGGAAACCCTCTTTCGGTTTTCGGTGAGACCACATCACCTTCCAATCAACATTTCCTCCGAAATGGAAAGTCATGTCACAATACATCACTAAGGAATTCTTCGAAATCCAGTTTTCCTTTATTAATATTGGTCTTTTTGCCCAAAATACGTTATAATAAATAACTTTACATCAGCAACTCAGTAGGAATCACTGTTAGCAAAGAGCAATTAGCAAATACTTCAATTACTCAAAGATGTAAAATTCCGGAGACTAAACTTTAAAGTTCACCACTATAAAAGTTTTTCATAAAGTAAATTAAGTAGTTTTCATAGATTTTTAAAAATTACTCATAAAAAACTTGTTATCTTTTCCTAGTCGAGACAATCTCTTAAAGAAGAGGATTAGTTGTCTAAGAAAGTTACTGAAACATGAGAAAATTTATATTCTTATTATAGTTAATATATTGAACCACAACTAGTCTACTATTGCTTGATTGATGCTTATATCGCTGCGGTTAATTATTTGTAAATTTTGAATACCTCCCTTTGAAAGAAACATAAAGTTTGTCTGTTTAAATCTTGTTTATATATTTACCGCATACAATACTTCCTATTAAGGATTAATAGTTTTGGAAATGCACATTGACCCTACAAGGGTGACAAACGGAATGACTAGTTTCGGCTCCCGTAACCGGGTAGATAGATAAAGTTAATATGTTTAATAATAATAATGGTTGCCGATTCCATTCTGATGAACGGATTCCGCTAATACAGAAAAATGAAACACTTAGGCTTCGATGTACGCCAGGAGTCCTGCCATAGCTTTAGGGACTTTTTATTTTTTATTCATATTTTATTCTTCGGAAGTTATGGCCTGTCTGGAATTTGATTTTATCAAAGATGATCTCATTAAGTGTAGTGGCGTAGGTGAGTTCTCCTGATTGACGTCTTGTGACTTTGCCGTATTACCTAAATTATCTGCCTCATTCGGGTATTTCTGCTCACTTGGTCGCTTTGTGCTCTCCTTCATCTCGGATGCGAGTTGTCCTTTTGTTTGTCCAAAGGTCTCCGTCTGACCGCTGACATTTTCTTCGCCTACTCCCGTGCTTTTTTGCCAGCGCCTGCGTATATCTGTGGCTAATTGTAACCAGCCGGCCGCCTCCAAAGCAGCTATTAAATCGTTCAAATCTGCTTGGTGGTACAACAGCATCCAGCGTGCGAGAGCAGCCCGTGCGTCACCCGAGAGCGTCCTATCGCAACGCAATATTCGGGCATCGGTTAATTGTTGGATATCTTTTTGCCGCTTAGTATGTTCGCGCTCAGGCTTCATCGGTAGAACCAGGTAAAGGCGAGGCCATTCACGACCGATCTTCTTCGCCACGAGTTGGCAAGCCTTTTGGATGGTTTTGGGCTCTGACAGAAAAGAATAAAAGGGATTGAGTCTCTGAGTTCATTTAACTTTAAAAACCAAACTCTGACTCGATAATGACATATTTCTTTGATTGATTCTGAAAATGTATCTAACTGCCCAACAGACTGTTGCTTTTTTCGTTTAAAAGTAGGGTTTCAGACGGTTTAAAAGTCATAATTATACAGATAATCTAAAGCTGATTAGGGCAGTCCATAAGTTTAATACGATTTTTATTTTTTCAAGCTATTTCTTATTCTGAACTAAAGTTGCCCTCATGAAAGGATTACCCGAATTATGCATGATAGATAATTTCAATCTGCTGTTCTAAAAATTATACTATCATTTCGCGACTTGCAGATTGATTTAGTTTTACTTTTTGTATATAAAAGTAGTCCTCTTGCTGATGGTTCATTCACAATGGGTTGTATATTAGCTCAAAAGTAGTTATACAGTTGGCTAATAAATGTTAAATGCAGTTAGGGACTGAATAGCATATAGAAGCATGCCCTTATTAGAAGTTGTTTGACCTTGTTTTCGCAACTTGGACATATTGACAGGAAGACCTAGAGGAACGCACCTTGTCTGGAGTCCATTGTATGCACGATAATTTTCAAAGTCGGACCGCGGATTTGGTACATTCCAAGACGTTCCGCCGACATCCTATTAGGCATCATCATTCAGTCTTGCTATTCTTAGCGCCATGCTACAACTCGTCAAAGATACAAGTGAAGTCGATCCTTTGACCAGTTGTGTGCTAAGCAGTTTTGGTGTCTCTCTTCTGTCCTGAAGTATGCACCAAACCTATATCCTCGTACACCCTTTCAATATCACAATTTCTTACTTATTTATCTAGACCTATTTTAATTCTATTCACTCTCCTTACTGGTTTCCTTATTCTTCCCACTCTGCCGGGAATGTTGATCCAAGGCTGCGGTTTAATTCAAAATCATCTCTCTTCGGATCCTATCAGAGTTCCCTCTTGCTCAGTAGGATAATTCCTTTGTCTGCCCGTTCCTGTGATTTCTCACAATCGCTGCTACTGTATCCGTGCTACTTAAGATTTTACGTTCTACACTCTGCCTCAAGTCTTTGATTGCACGTATACACCAGCCTTACTGCGCAAGCCCCTAAACTCTGAATTCTCATTTGGCATGGCAACCTAACTTGACGCTGAAGGTCCCCTTATCTCTGTGCCGCCTGTGCACCGAGTAAATCTCGTGGTCAAGCCTTTACGTCATGGACCACGCCTATGAGCAAACTTATCTACTAATAGCTAACTAAAAATGGCCACTACCGTTTCTCCCGGTCTTCTATGACATTCTATCGCGTGCCAATCCCTAAATGTGATGGTTCTACTTGATTTGAATAGGCTCACTGCAGACGTCTTATTTTAGATTCCGATTTTTGCACTCTGGTCTACTTGTAAATTCTTTTCCTAAAATTAAAAGTATTACCTTTGTCCAGTCGTCTTCTTTTTATTCTGTTATCTGATCTTCTCCAAGTTCGTTTAGGCAGTATTCAAAGTTTTCGCTGATCCTGCCTTCTTCAAGTCTCCTGTTCATCGTCTGCATATCAATGGCTTCTCGTATCTTACGTTTTCTTGTATTTCCACCATATGCAGCCAGCCTTTCTGTCGATTTCCACTCGTTATCCTGTCCCGTTCGTGCCAGGTGTTCCGCTATTTCGGATCCTTAAGTGTCCATGCTTCTGCAGAGTCTTTGGTGTTACTTGATTTGTAGGCTAATTTTTCTTCCTGTTTCACCAATATACTTCTGATAACAGTTGTCGCATTTGATGCTATAGACTCTTGAGCGATCCAGTTTGTCAACCTTCTCGTGTTATATCGGCAGGCTTGTGAAGATTGTTGTCTTTTCTTTTGTTATCAGCTTGATATTCTATTCTCTTAGCAACGGTCGCAATTTATGGCCCAGGTCACAGTAAGGCAGGCATATCCACTTTTTTTCGTATTCCCGATTTCTGATCCTATTTCCACAAAATCCTGGTTGAAATCTGCTCTTTATGGCCCCCATATTTCTTTCTATAAATTATCTGGGCTACCAGTTACTAAGGCAAATCTGAGTCAGTTTCTCAAAATCCTCGTTCCAAAACTCAGTGTCCATTAGTCTTAAGCTTCTGATGATCATACTCCTCATTATTCCGATCTTCATTCTGTTGTTGGGATGAGACTAGAAATTGAGGGCTATTTCCGCATGTGATTTCTTTCGGAATTATCTCCTTTTGAGTATTCTGTTGCAGCTAATGACATCAATATCCATTAAGGGTAGTCGTTTATACTCCTGCATCTCCATAGTGAATTTAATTCTTCCACCAAGTTGGTTTATACAATTGAGAAATTCATCCAAATTTTCCTTACCATGAGACCAAAGTGCAAAGTAGTCGTACAGGTATCGCATCAGTACTCTTGGTTGCAGCGGTGACCTCTTGAATTTCTTCTCCAATCTGTCCATGTATACATTTGCCAAAAGAGATGAGAGTGGAGATCCCATCAGTAGTCCAAATATTTGCTCATAGATATTGTCGTTGAATATAACAGATATGGTACTTACTGTCAGGTTGATTAATCGTGTTAACAAATCCTTTCGTATCCACTCTTCTTCCAAGATATCCTCCTCTCGTTCCAAAACCTCCAGCAGGGCGATGATTGCCTTATCGCCCAAGATGTTCGTGCAACTGGATTTTATGTCAAAACTTACCAACATTTCCGTCCTTGCTACTCCAATATTTTG